CCACAGGCGCCCGCCACAACGCCCGGCTATTTTTTCGTTGCAGCCATGGTTGTTTGGCGGGTCCGGGCTGGGGATTCGAACCCGCCAGCTTAGGTGTACGTGGCTGGTGCCTTAGCCGGTTGAGCTATAGGCGCCGAGCCCACCTGTCTTAAATTTAACCTTTCCTATCTCTCTGCAACCTCATCCTCCCCCTTTGCTCATGTAAATGAACAGCATCAACACCAAAGGTGGGAGCCTCTAACTCCACCTTCTCTCTTTATATATCAGTTAATCATTTACACCTATCAGTTCTATCTTTTAAAATATTTCTTTCTTTCTTTTTTTTCTTTGAGACAGAGCCTCAAGCTGTCGCCCTGAGTAGAGTGCTGTAGCATCACAGCTCACAGCAACCTCCAACTCCTGGGCTCAAGCAATTCTCCTGCCTCCACCTCCCAAGTAGCTGGGACTACAGGCGCCTGCCACAATGCCCGGCTACTTTTTGGTTACAGCCGTCATTGTTGTTTGGTGGGCCGGGCTGGATTCGAAACTGCCAGCTCAGGCATATGTAGCTGGCGTCTTAGCTGCTTGAGCCACAGACTCCGAGCCTAAAATATTTCTTGAATGAATCCATTTCTCTCCATACACGTTGCACTACTTTTATCCAAGATCATCAGCAGCATCATCTCAACAGCCTGTCCCCCTGCCTACAGTCTCACTCCCCTCCAATCATTCTCTCTCCACTTCCTTCTTTGCATTGTGAGTTCTCAGCTATAATGAAATATCCTTCAGTTCCTACAAACCACCACATTCTCTTACAACTCTTTTGTATACTGTTCTCTCCCCGTGGAATAATATACTCTCCACATTCCACCACCACCCCACTCCACCTCCAGTGGTTGCGGTGAACAATAAAACCTTAATTCCTCTTTAAAAAATAAACAAACAGGCTGTGCCTGAAGCCACATACACCAGAGCTGGGGGGTTCAAACTCAGCCAGGGCCTGCCAAATAACAATGACAACTACAATCAAAAAATAGCCAGGCATTGTGGCAAGCACCTATAGGCCCAGCTATTGGGGAGGCTGAGGCAAGAGAATTGCTTAAGCCCAAGAGTTTGAGGTTGCTGTGAGCTGTGACGCCATGACACTGTACTGAGGGCAATATAGTGAGACTCTGTTTCATAAATAAATAAATAAAT